TACACACACACACACACACACACACACACAAACACTCTCCATTTTTTTACCCAGCCTGACAATCTGCCTTCTACTGGAGTATTTCCTCTGTTTATGTTGAAATTATTGATTCTGTACTTAATTCTTAGATGCATAATTCCTCAGTTTAGCATCTCAGAAATCAGACTTGTCTTTAATAGTGGAAAATTAAAACATAAATGGTCAACTGACAACAGTAACAAGTCTTTACCCTCTGCACATGAATGTTATTGTGTCATAACTTTAATTTTTTTGCATTACTACTTCTTATCATTTTAAATATCTTCAAAACTATTATACTGTAATTTGGCATTAAAGTGAAAACTTCTCTGATAAGCATAGAAATGAAGCAGCTGTTAGTGAAGCAAATATTTGATATAATAACAACAATTTTACTTTCTCTTATAAAGGCACAAATAAATATTTTACCAGACTTTAGACAGGAAGATACCTGGAAATATACCAAGCTTGTTACTTGCTACAAATAAAAGCTCAATGCTTTTGTTACTGAGATACAGTATGAATTACCTATAGCAGGCAAAGCATACAAGTGACTGCAGCAGAAACTATTCCCCCCTCAGTTTCACAAACATGAAGCTGATTTGATGGATTTATGCATCATTAAGGCAAATGTCAATTTTTTTAAAAGAAACTTCCTACTAACACTGAACAGAAGTTTCATAACTTCTAGCAATGTGTAATAGAAGAAAAAGCTGATTTTAGAAATGCTGACAAAATTATCATGTACTTTTATAACCTTAAAATAATACACTAATGTTAAAGGTGCAAAAGGTAATGATATAAGAGAATGGGTTACAAAATATCACTTGTAGTACTATCCCTGCACCACTGTATCATACCACTGTAAGAACTATGATAAGTGTCTCTGGACAGAAGTTGTTGCTATATTAAATTTTAAACTACAAAATTATTTCTCAAAGATGTTATTGTTTGCCTCAATAAAAGGGAGGACAGCTGATAGCTGAGTAAAGAAAATGTAGTTAACACTATTTTGAAGGTTCAAGAGCCCTAAATAACCTGCCAAGTGTGTTGATTTCTGTCTTGATGCATTCTTAGAACATGTATTTGAATAATTAAAGAACAGGTTATCTGAATTGCTTCTCGGACTTTTGGCTAAGATCAAGTGTAGAACAGGTTATCTGAAGTCAGGTATGGTGGCACATACCTGTAATTCCAGCACTCTGGGAGGCTGAAGCAGGAAGATTGCAAGTTTGAGCCAAGACCGGACAACTTAGTGAGACCCTTAGTGAGTCTCAAAATTTTAAAAGTTTAAAAATGGATGGGACTATAGTACTGTGTGAAGGCCCTGGGTTCAATTTTTAGTTTCACAAAACAAAACAAACAAAAATCCACAAACAACAATAAACAGGCTATCTGAAAAGTAACATAAATTGTTGTCCCTGATTCTATGTCAGGACAACCACCAGCCTTCAGTGTTTTGGTCAACAAACCACATAAGGAGGATTTGAGGAAAGAACTGTTATCATCTTCTGATAAGATCGAGAAAGCACCAGCACCAAAGCTTGCAAAATGAGTGTCAGAGGCTTAAAAGAAAATCCCAGGCAAAGAGGCTTAAAGAAAATCACCCTCCCTCTTCCTGGTAGAAAGAAACACAGATGCTGACAATTGAAGGTATTTCAAAAGAGTCAGACTATGAATGTGGAGTTTTATGAATACCTTAACCAATTTATTTCACCTTTAATTATTCATGTATGCTCAAAAATGGTGTGCAAAAAATTCTCTATGTCTAAATTAATATTTATTTATTTTTTGAGACAGGGTCTCACTATGTAGTTCAGGCTGTCCTTGAATTCACTATTTAGCCCAGGCTGGCCTTGAACACACAGTGATCCTCCTGCCTCAGCTTCCCAAGTAGCGGGATCAGAGGTGTGCACCACCACATCAAGTTCTAAATTAATCTTGAAATGCCTTTTTTTTGGGGGGACCAGAAATTAAACTCTGGTCCTTGCGCTTGAGAGGCAAGTGGTGGAACCACTAAGCTAAATCCTGCCCCTTAATATGCTTTTCTTAGTAAATATAAAATTGACTTGTAGGTGATAAAGTGCAGCATCACAGTTTAATTGGCAGCATTTTTCTACACGCATACAATGATGTGTCTTAATGAGTTCTTAGAGGCAATGAAATACAGGTATTACACGTTGATTCTAAATCAGCTATCTTCTTTGAGGCCTCTAATATTTTTCTTTCCTTTCATGCCTTGTTTCTTTTTGATTGACGAAAAGGTTTTATTTTCCCCTCCATTGGTTTCTGATCATTCAGTGTTTATTCTAGGCATAACTAGGACTTTAATAAAGCCTCAGTAAATGTCAGCTGTTATAATAACAAAGGAAATGGAATGCATTGGCGTACACTAAGTAGAAGAGTAATGACAGAAAATTCTCTTTAAATACCAATATAATGTAAGTTTATCAGAGACAGGTTTTCAGGTTTTCATGCACTGCAAAAAAATATATAAATATCCACACAAAAGAAAAAGAGATGAGTGATAGAGAGTCCAAGGGAAGAAGTGAAGCCTAACCTACTTTTTTTCCAACATCAGGTCAGGAAGAATGGGCTTCTATTTTCCTTTATCACCCACTTCTTCCATAAGAAAGATAAAACCAGAGACACTGAGTTCGATGAGGATGACTAGGCTAATAATTTATTCTCTAAAGTAGGACGATGGGAAATTCTAAATCAAGAAGTCATCTTGAGACAGGGAAAGCATTGATAATTACAAAGCAAACAGACTTCTTAATCTTCTAGTATTCAGTAGATACAATTTCCCTGAATTTCCAAGTCCTAAAAAGAGAAATCAAAATTCACATTCATACACAAAGGCAGTTTCCTATTTTGATTGTGGGGCAAGATACTCTGGCAGTGGTTAAAAAGAATGATCACAGGTAAGAGGTGAAAAGAGACCAGAAAGCAGAAAGTAGTTTGTCTCTCTTGTCTTTTTCTTTTTTTAAGAGTAGGAAAAATTTATTGAGGAAAGTTTCTGTCAGGGACTGAAGGGGGATCGGAAAATGAGTTGCCCCTCTCTCTCTCTTTTCTGTTCTCCATAGTGTCTTTTTCTCCCTCCCTCAACCCTCTTCTTTTGCTTTCTCGTCCTTTTCATTTGAAGGTTGAAGAATGTTTCCTTTGAACAAACATGTATGTTCTAAGTACCCACACCAGATATCATGCTGGAAGACAAAGGTAAATGAGACAGACACAATCCTTTCCCTCAAAGGGCACTGTTTCATTTGTTTAGTGGAGATTTTTTTGTTTTTTGTTTTTCGGTTGTTTTGCAAGACTGGCAATTGAACCCAAGGCCTTTACGTTCAGCTACTTCCCCAGATCTTTTTAAATTTTAGGTTCTCACTAAGTACTTAATTGCCTAAGCTGGGCTTGAACTTGCAATCCTCCTGTCTTAGCTCCACAGAGTACTGGGGTTACAAACGTGTACCACTATACCTGGCTGCTCATAGAGTTTGGGTTTTTGTTTGTTTGTTTTATTTGTTTGTTTTGGGGTTTTTTTGGTACTAGGGATCAAACTCGAGACCTTGCACTTGTAAGGCAGGCAGCAGGTTCAACCCCAGTATAACAAAATACATATTTTGCAGAAATTAACTTTGCAGAAATTAATGTTTGCAGAATTAACTTGCTCCTCCTATCTCCTTTCTAAAAACCCTAAAAGATTGATTCAACCTTCAGATTCTTCCTCACCCCAATTTTGACTCCTTCAATTTCAATTTCCTTTTCTCAAACGTATTTATTTCATTTTTTTCAACAAAAATAATGATGACTGAACCATTTCCCATAGGACAGGATATATTTACATAATATTTACAAAGAAAAAATTCTAGAAGGAAATAAAATTTTGATAGCCTAAATAAGTTAAGCAAGGGCGAGTGGTGAGAGAGATTTCAAGATAGGTGACAGATAAGTGGTTTATAAAAAATATATATTTCAACTAGCAAGGGAGGTAAAAATAACCATACTGAATTTAAACATATGCTGAGATGGGTTATACTTATCAATATAAATTTAATTCCCAATGATGAACTATGTGACACCCTTGGGACAACTTATCTGTACCATTTTAGTGCCCTGCTAACAGCGAGCTGAATAAATGTTAGCTCATTTTAACACAACCATAAATTACCCAATAAACATTTATTGAGAATTTATAGGTAGTAACCAGGACAAAGCCCTAAACAAGACAGAAATGCTTCTATAATAAATCATGGGATACAAGAAAAACAGAAACAATTTATTAGAAGTAGTATGGAATCTAGAAATAGTAAATATGTAGGCAGATTCTTCTGCAGATTCTTTCTGTAGAAGACTCTTTCTATAGCAAATTACTGAAGCTTCTATGAGTATTTTTCAGTTTCTCAATCTCAGAGATAGAAGAGGACTAGATTCATACTGCGGTAGAGGCTATTTTCCCACTAATATCCAAATCTTCTCTTCCTTCTCAGTAACAGAAGCCCAATTTTGAGAGCAGCCATACACTCAGCTATATCTCCTTGCTCCCTTCTAGCAGGAGCCTGGGTTCAGAAAATCTCCTGAAAGAGGGAGGAGGCATCTTTGTCTCGCTGTCTGGAACTTGACTGATGGCTGAGGTCTGGCAGCCCTTTTAGGCTATGAGAATCAGAGCCACCTTAGGAATCACAGATCAACAAGCTGGAAGACTAGGTCTCATGACTTTATGAAGCCACTATACCTATCGCAGACCATCTATTTCAAGAATAATTTCAAATGAGAAAATAAATATTGTGTGTTTAAGCCATTATTAAGTTTTTTTTCTTTTTTTGAACTCAGGACCTTACATTTACAAGGGAGGTGGCAAAACCACCAAGCTAAATCCCCAGCCCTTGGTTTGTTTTTTTTCTTTTCTTTCTGTATTTTGTTACTGTTATTAGTGGTAGTTGTTTTGGTTTGTTACAAAAAGCAGTTATTAACTGAGCACTTACCTTCAGACAGGTAAAGAATTTTTATCTTCTTTTTTACAGATGAAGCAACTAAGATCCAGAGAGGGAGGATGACTTGCACAATACCAAGTTAGTGAAGAGTGACTCTTGACTGCTAGTTCCAATGCTTTTTTCATGAAAAACTGACTCTTAGGTTCTAAATGTATTTTTTTTAAAAAGGAAAAATATAAAGACACAATAAATATAATAATACATTTAGACAGTGTAGTATAATGATACATGGCACTGTATGCATTTGTCACATAGTATGAAAAGGAAAAAGTATCAATTTTATGATATAGAAGACTACATTACATGCTATTGAGTGGAGGAGAGATATATGAAATAAATAGAATCAAAGACCAGAATAACTAATGATATTAATTCACTGTGCCCAAGTTTTACATTGCTCCCCTTTTAAGTAACAAAGAGGAATTCAGGTTAGAAGCTCATTTTATTTTCAGCAACAAGACTCCAAGTTATGGAGGAACTTTTCCGGTTAAATTCTTAGCTGGAATTTTTCTTTACTGTTATCATTATTTTTAAAATAAGTAAACTTGATTCAGTCTGTCATAGAGATCAGCAGTAAGATAAAATATTGCACATTCTTCTTTGAAACTCCACTACATAATAATTAAAACAGCCCATGTGCAAACTCATTGGTGAATATAAACAATTATTTCTAAGTTGTCCAAAAAATAAGCAAATATTTTCATTTTTAATAACACCCATATGTGCACACACACATGCATACATACACACACACACACACACACACACAACACATTTTTTCCCCTCAATACTAGCAAGTGGACCTGGTGAGTGCTAAGATACCTCTCCAGTCCTTTTCAATTTTTCATTTTGAGACAGGGTCTCACTAAGTTGCCTCGGCTGGTTTTGAACTTATAATGCTCCAGCCTCAAGCTTCTGGTTAGCTGAGGTTATAAAAGTTCATCATGCCCAGCTGTTTGATTTTTAGACAGTATATTTAATATAAAATCATCTATGCAGAGTGGTCATATGAATGTTGGAGCTTGTAAAGGTACATGACTTTCACTTGTAGACCATGGTAAATCAAATCCTAACTTCTTCTATTTATTTGCAAGCTATTTGTTTTTCTTCCTTTTTTTTTAAAGGTGCTCAGGCTGGAACTCAGGGCTAATAAAGTGTTCTATCATATTACTGGAACCATATCCTCAGCCTTCTACTTGGTTTGTTTTCTTTCTTTCTTTTTTTTTTTTTTTTTTTTTTTTTTATTTTTTTTTTTTTTTTTGAGAAAGGATCTCACTTTGTAGTTCAGCCTTCAGCCTAGCCTTGAACTCACTACATATCCCATGCTGGTCTCGAACTCATGGTAATCCTCCTGCCTCAGCCTCCTGAGTGCTGGGATTACAGGTGTGCACCACCGTATCCAGCCCTACTTGGTTTTCTGAGTCCCGATTTTCTTACCTATAAAATTTAACTAATACCTGTCCATAAGTTTGTTCACAGGATGAAAATAATAATGAATACAAAGCAATTAATATGGTACATGATAATAGCAAGTGCTCAAGTATTAATGCCTACATACATTTATTTTTGAAAGGCCACATTAAAGCTTTTCTCTGAACACTGCTATAACCAAAGCTCTACTGCAGAACACATCAACAAGAACTGAACACAATCTCTTCTTCCTAGCTGTTACAACACTGAGCTGAAACAAAAGAGCCAGGTTTTTTTTCCTGAGCCTGGAAACCTGGGTTGCTTCTTCTTATTGTCACTGGGTGAAAAAAAGGGTGGGGCAGGGAAAAATAAATGGCTTCTGAGTTTCTGGATTGCAGCAGTGACAAGGGCAACAAGCTAATCTGGTGCTCAGATGGTTTTCTCTTTGAAAATGAGAGTCAGGTTTAAAATAAAACAGCAAGTGTGTGACCAGATGATCTGGACTTCAAACCCTCCTTAATCAAGATGTCATTATAGGGCCAGGGATTTAGCTCAGTGGTGCTGCCTGCTGCCTTGCAAATGCAAGGACCTGAGTTCAATCCTCAGTACAAAAGAGAAAAAAAAGACATCATTATATAGTTTTGTTTCTGATGTTCCTATCAGTAGAAAGGGACAGCAACCATGGAACCCATTATATCTTCTTTCATTCCAGTATTCTTTATAAACAGGCATATGAAAAACATAAACTGTTGTTCAAATGCACCACTCAAAAGTATATTTATTAAAATTACAATGACCTCTGGGGCCAGGGATTTAGCTCAGTAGTTCCACTGCCTGCCTTGCAAGCGCAAGGACCCTAGTTGGATCCACAGTACAAAAAAAAAAAAAAAAAAAAAAAAAA